CGCCACTGCGCGAAGCGCGCAACCACACGGATCGGATCGATGCGCGCAAAAAGCTGACCCCCATCCGCTATTTAAAGGCGTATCCCAGATTTTACTATGTGACGAATTTTATTCTGGGATCTCCTCCCTTAACGGGCTGAATGTATGCGCCGAGCCGTACATTCAGTCGTGTGCGCAATCCGTAGAAAGAATGCAATCGAGGATAATAATAAGCCGAGACTGGGCAGAGGAGGGGGTGGCGAATGAATTATTGAGATATCGGAGAGTACGATCGCGCGGGGCGTTGTGAATCGTAATCGAACATCTGAGAACCGACATCTGGAGGTGGTGGTGGTGGTGATGGTGATGGTGGTGGTGGTTCGGTGGTGGATGTTGCGCCGCCGGCTTGCAACAATCTGTGCTAATGTAACGGTTACTAGTTTGCTACTTGAAACCGATGAACTTTGTTGCATTAGGGAATTAGTTACCGCTCTCGCGGGACGATTTCGATGGGATTCTCGACGAGACATATAACATATAACATATACGGGACGTAAAACGTACTTCAATATTGCATGACAATGGGTCGTTTAGCTATTTTTTTGGATTGTTAATTTATGATGGCGCCTTCCCGTCTTTATGCCATGCGCCACGACTTTCAGATAGGGCGTCTCGATATTTATGTATTCAGATTCTAGAAATCTCCAAGACAAATCTGTGATCTATCTCCGTTTATTTTGTATATACTAATGTACTGATACATATAATGTTCTGGTTGTATCAAAAAGAGGTATACGAAAAGAATGATTCTGTTGAAGTATTAAAAAATTTAGCTAGATATAGATCTGAAAATAACTTTGTTGGATCACATTAAAATAATTACGTAGAAATCTCAAACATGATGAGCAATGCTACAAAAAGTTTTGACGTTCTAGCAATCAATTTGAGCGTCTTACATAATTATTTTCATTCATCCAAACAAAATTATGTTTAGATCTGCTTCTAACTAAATTTTTAGATAATTCAAAATGCATTCTGGTTTTGTCAGTCAGAATTCTGATTATCGTAATTGAATTTCTGGTTATTTTGACCATAATGTAATTTGATTTAATTATATTATAAGTATCTATTTATTCCTTTATGATTGAATGAATTCTAATTAATAGAACAAAAAGAACGATTTTCTGGAGTATCTAAAAATTTAGCTGGTTACAAATCTGAAAATAATCTTTATATTATCAAAATAATTATGTAGGACACTCAAGTCGATTGCTAGCATGTCAAAACTGCTTTGCAATATTACTCATCATGCCTGAGTTTCTTACATAATTATTTTGATAATCCAATAAAATTATTTCTGTATCTACCTTAATAAATTTTTAGTTATTTGGGGAAAATCATCCTTTCCATGCGCGGACTTGTATCTAATATACAAAGGATTATAATGGCTTGTCCAACCAATCATACTGTAAGAATTTTTGATTATTGAAGCTAGGACATTTTAATTAGCGGCGAGATATTTCTAATATAACATAATACGTGACGATAATAATTGAAATTTCGCTTGAAATTTCACCGAGCGTAAAATGCCTGTAGCTTTTGACAACGTATTAATGTTTCATATATTTTTGATTTCAGGTATCGTCGTTGTGTTGGCCCGCCGCCGGTGAAGCATGGAGGCTGACGGTGACGCGAAGTGAGCGGGCCCTCTCGTTCTCCCCACTCCCTCCCTTTCGAAATACGCACCTGCTGACAGACAGAAAACGAAGGCTGAACCCTCTGACTATACATATATTTAGAAAAAAGAAAAAAAACCGTAACGAATCACCGCCAAAAGCTAGTAGAATTTTAGTCAAAGTGTGAAAGAGAGAGAGAGAGAGAGAAAGAGAGAGAGAGGTGCAAAATAAATATATATATACAATATATACGTATATGTGTATATATATATATTATAGAACGAGGAAAAGAGGACGAGAGAAACACAAGATATACATACATACTTATATAAATAAATATATAAATATATAAATAAGAAGGAGAGGAAAGAGAGTGATTCGTGAGTGTGCGTGTAAATAAGAGCTATTTTTCGTATGAGAGCGAGAGAGACGCGCCCTGGCCGGAGAGAAGCGAGAAACGACATGTTCGAAAGTATCTTCGGACGAGGGAAGATTTAGGCTGCTTCTCTTGAAGCCGAATCGTCAAGTGGAATATAAGAGAAAGAAGAAGAAGAGAAAGAAAAAGAAGAGAGCGAAAGGATACCGTCGCGTCACGGTTGTTTGGACGTTGTTTCGATGTTCTCCAGTCCGGATCGCCGGCGTTTCTTCCCCCTACAGAGGAATAGTCCCTCTCGCGGAGACTGATCGAGCCGATATATATATATATATATTTCGTGAAAGAAACCGCAGTGAAGGAGGCGAACAAGTATCGAAGGTAAAGCGAGGAGGTGAAAAAAAAAAGTGAAAAAGAAGGAAGGAAAGAGAGGGAGAAAGAGAAAGAGAGCTAAAGAGAGGAAGGAAATATAGAGAGCGATCGTGTGGCATCGAGAGGGCTGGCTCCATGTTGTGAGCGTCTGAGGACTGCCGAGGGCAGCAGCGAAAGGGCGGAGTAGGGTGCCGCCGCCGTTATGGAGTACGGTGGCGGGGGCGGTGGGACACGCGGGGGTGTCCAGCCACCCTCCGCGGGGGCGAGGGGCATCGCCGGCACCGACACTACCGACGCTGCGTGGCACAAACACGAACAAATGATGCTCATGGAGTCCAGGCACAAGCAACAATGTGAGTAAACGCACACTTTCTGAGTCATTCTACCCTTTCCCATCGCCGCGCCGTCTCTCCCTTCTCGTTGATGATGCACGTGCGGACTCGGACGGTAACGGGAATTTTCGGAACGGATTGCTGGTTTAAGAGTAGGGAGGCGGGTTATTTCGCAGTCTACATTGATCGAGAGCTTCCGTCTGGAATGTATGATGCCGGAGAAAGGGATTTTGTCGATCTAGGAAAGACTTGATATCAAGAACAATGTAGTAACTTTTAGAGAAATTTAATCAATTGATTTAGTAAAAAAAAATTGCACGTGAAATTTTATTATCGATGTTATTAATAATGCTAAGGCAAAGATCGAAGACAACAATTAATCATTACAATAATATATAATATCGATCTAGTAATACGTTCAAGAACGCAAATTAGTGACGAATATACATACATACTTTTAAATTTTGTTGAAGTAATAGTATCTTCTTATAAAATTGAATATGAAAAATTACTTTCAAAATGTTGTTCACTTGGTTGAGATCAGAGTGCTTGATTTCTTTCGTACGGATACCATTAATTTTTCCGGAAATTCGTATGATTAATAGCTGAGAGAAATATTTCGCGAGATATCAATTAAATCTCGAATATTGCCGAATTTTTGTGTGTCAGGTTACCATACTTAATCAGGAATAAAAAGACGATGACTCAAGGCGCTCGATAAAGAGAGAGAGAGAGACCGCCAAGCTCGAAATAAAATTTATTTAACGCTTTCATTTTATATTGCATATAACAATAATATCATTGACAATAATTTAAATTGAAAATATTATGTAAAATCCATCTTAGTCCATTAAGATTTTTATTACTCATAATAGAAATTAGATTATCTGTCTCTCTATAATAATAGTAACGCAAAATAGGTTTTCAGTCTTAAATATAAAAAAAAATATATATATTACGAGAGCAAAACCGGTATTTGATGTATCTATTTCCGTTCAACGCGAAGCATAAGGGAGAGAAAAAGAGAAAGCATGTGTCTATGTATCTTTTTTTTATCCCTGACCTTTGACACGTTTGTATGCACGCGCAATAAAACATCGACGGCTGAATGTTACGAGGGAAAAATGCGAACGGTGTAACCGTAAGTTACGGCGCGCCGGCCTTTGACAACTGACGTTTACGTCTGGTTAAACTGTCGCGTTTTTCCGTCATTTTCGTGCCTTCGGATGCAACACGTTACTGCAGGGTAGACTTTCTGTACGTTACTGTTTTCCTTAATGTGACTACTTCATAAACTGTGCTCATATATAAACATCAGAGCTTTATAAACATTTCTATAAACAAGTTTTATCAGTCATCTTAAAATTTTTTTCTTTTTGTCTATTCAAATTCTAGATTTCCTATTCTAGGTTCCTAATTCTATAATTTTTAACGACAATAACAATATCGTTGTTGTCATTAAAAGTTACAGAATAGGAAGCTTAAACGATATTCTTCAATGTCTTCGAAAGATATTAAAAATAATTATTGCATAATAAAATGGAGGATATACGGAAAAAATGATTTCATTGATATATGTAAAAATTTAACTATTAAATACAGATTTAAGAATAATTTTGTTAGGCTATCAAAATAATAACATAAGAAATTCAAGGCATAATGAGAGCAATGTTGCAAAAAATTTTGATATTTTAGCAACCAGCTTGAATGTCTTGTATATGTAATTATTTTGATAATCTAACAAAATTATTTTGAAATCAGTATCTAGCTAAATTTTTAGATTCTTCAGGAAAACCATGCACTTATCAATCATTCATTTGCAAAAAGGTAAACTTGGGATAGAATGGCCATTTAGGTATTTAGAACGACTTAAAAAATGCTCTATTTAACAATTATTGGAGATTATAACCTATAACCATCTTTTTCATACATATATATATATATATATATATATATATATATATATATATATATATATATATATATATATATATATATAGCCATAATGCCCGAGTTTATTCCACAATGTGCATTTTATCGGAAGTCATCTCTTTCTTTTTTTCGAGCAAGTCTTATATATGTTTGCTAAATATAACAAGAACTGTGTATTATAATTGATGAATGTATCGAATGATGCACATCGCGATGAAACGACAAACGTGAGCGAGAACAGCTCAAATTAGCAGGTGCGATATATCGCATTTGCCAAACAGGCTTTCATTCACCATTGTTAAATGAAAAGAGAGTAAAGCGCGACCGATTTCATCCTCTCTTCCCACTGACTCCCTCTCCCTCGGTAGTGTTGTCCGATAATGAGACTCGCGTAACGAGTCGACAGCGGAAGGAAACTGCACGATGCCGCAATTGCGGACGACGTCCGCATTTAACTCGGCAATATGATTCGATTAACGACCATGCTACCATCCGTGTTGTCGCCGCCGGATAATAACGCTGTTCTTTCTCGCGTTCGTCGCGAGTGCGAGATGTTAATTGATCTCAGTGATCCAGATACCGACACACACGCGGAGGAACAATCTTAACAATGAATTACGTATCAATTGTACAATCGGGTTGTTTCACTTTCTTCGCGATTTCTTTTAGCTACAGATTGTTCTTCGTTTTTTAATCTATTCGGGATTTCCCGATTGATTTTTCCTAACGGAAACATCGGGAGACGAATAGTCCTCGGATTAGAAGCGATCGAAAGTGAAGGATTTTCGAAAGATTAAACTCCCGAGGTGCAAACGGATAATAAAGGCCTTCATTTATTATAATTTCAAGCGCGAACTTTACTTTGGCAGAATTTTACTTTGCGGCGTGCTTATCAAGACAATTAATAATTGAGATTGGGGAGAGATAGTGAAGAAGAATCTGAGATAAGGACGACGTGATCGATATAATACGTTCCATACAATTAGAAATAAAATGTTGTTATAATTTTATGAAATTTTGTTAGTTATTTGAAAATATCGAGACACATTGTACTGAATTTGCTCCGAATAAGTCTCGATTAATTAGGTAAATCGAGATTATTTTACTTAAGAGAAATTTGTGTTTTTTTTTTCTTAATGAAAAATGTTAGAAGTGTATTGCTAAAATATTTATACTAATTAAAGATTAGATTAAAATTTGATACGATACTGTATCGAAAAAAAAATTTATTAAATCTCAATATATATTTCTTTAAATAGTACTAAGTAAACGTTTATTTACAGTAAATAAATATTTATTCAATAAAAAAAAATGATAAAATTAAATAAAATTAATGATTTTTGTATCATATAAATATATGTTTACATTTAATATCTAAATATTTACTTAAAACTATTTAAACAAATATTGATTAAAATTTAGTATTTTTTTTCAATGTGAAAATAAATACATACACACACAAAATCTTTATTATATTAACAAGTTAGCGTTTTTAAATTTAGATTCTTTAAAGCAACTCATTATGTAATGGACTTTTTGTATTAAGGAATCTATCAGGATAGACGAAAAAAACCGGGTCAGCATCTCTTGATCAAGTGGCTGTATTTAGCGTCTAAATACAGCGTCTAAACGAGTGTAACTTTATATTTTATCGTAAAATTTTCATCCCTCGATAAATATATTTCTCGGTCGATCGTAGACTTGCGTTCGTGAAAATCTGCGAAGGGAAGTCTAATCGACGGGAAACGAATAACCCCTTGATCCGGCGGCGTTTCACGTAAGATTACCAAACCGGCGATTACCAGCGTGATCGATCGTTCATTATCTTTCACAATTAATCGCGCTCTTCCCCGTCCGAGTCCAAAGGGCGTCGAATGTTTAACGTGGCGCGGTCGATCCTGATGCAAAAAAGTAGCCTTGCTCGCGGTTTGCCGACGTCGGGAAATTGTTGATTAACGCTGTTGATAATGAGTCCGAGCTTCAATTCCGCGACGCTGTTACAAATAGGTCATCGAGCTACTCATGCAGAGAAGAATTCTATCTTTCGGGACTGGCAAATTTTTGAGTACTCAGGCACACTGAAAGAAAGAGTCTGCTAATAGCTAGCAAATGTTGAATGAAATAATTTTAATCGAACGATTTTAGTTGATAAAATAAAAAATAATTTTATTTTTCTAAATATTTATTTATTGTCACTAAATGGTTAGTTATATGCTATTTGATAATACTTAGATATTAAATATTTAGAAAAGTAAAATTATTTTTGGTTGTATTAACCGAAAATTTAGTTGAAATTATTATATTCAATATTTGGTCGAGCAAATATTGCTGGAAAAAGTTTTGACATTTTAGCAACTAGTTTGAACATCCTGCGTATAATTATATTGACAATCTAACAATAACAAAATTATTATCTGTATTTAACTGAATTTTAGATATTTTAGCAAAACCGTTCTTTTCGTTATTATGACGAAAAATTTATACCTATTTCTTATTACGTTTGTATCATTTCCTCTATTCTTATTACAAGTTCAAACCGCGAAGTTTCCAGATTTTATTACTGAATTTACATTTTGGAATATTCTTGTAATACTTTATTATAATTTGCGTAATCAAAAGATATTGCCATTACGGAAAACTAAATTTCTAGATATCGTGCAGTATACATAATACATAATACATATGCATACATAGGATCTATCTCTGGATTTTTCGCGAAATAAAAGAAAAATAAGGCACGTAACGTTTCTACGAGCAAAAATCTCATAGATCGCATTATCTCAGCGTTTAAGCGCTACAAATAAGCTTCGTTCTGTTTACCGGACGGTAACTTCATTCGCGATGCGATCTTTTGTAGTATCTCAAACCGCTCTATTTGTCGCAGTCAGCTGTTCCGCGAGGTGCGACTGAGACTTCTATCTCGCAGATCGTGAGAACAGAGTTTGAAATCCTTCGCGCGCACGTTTCAGCCGGCTGACGATCACAGCTCTCGAAACTACCGCTATTGATCGTCGCTCCAAAATACTCTTTCGTCGTGAATCATTGAACACTGCTGATCGACGTGTCTTTCTCTCTTTCTTTCTCCTTCC